AAGAACCATGGTTACAGGTAAGTAACCTTTCTTTCTTCATCGTGGTCTTCTGTGAATGCACACAAAAGGGTGATTAGCACGCTTACTCACCGGATGGTGGGCTGTCACTGGAGGACAGACGTCAACACCGCTCTCCCGAAACCCGTCTCCTTCTTGGCCCTCAGGTCTAGTCTGTAGTGAGTGATGAAAGTGGAGACATTAGACCAGGTGGCAGTCCTGCAGATGTCAGGTAAATCGACGCCACGTAGCAGGGCAGTAGAAGAGGCTATGGCTCTGGTGGAATGAGCCCTGAGTCCTTCAGGTGGAGTCTTATGCTTATGCGCATAAGCAAGAGAGATTGTGGAGACAAGACATCTGGAGAGCGTTGAAGATTATGCTGAGAGACCCTTCTTTTTTCCAAAGTAGCAGAGGAAAAGTCTATTGGATGACCTAAAGTCTTTGGTTCTAGAGACATAGAAGGCTAGAGCCCTCCTAACATCCAGAGTGTGGAGCATGCGCTTGGTGTCATTAGCAGGATCAGAGAACAGAGTAGGAAGCATCAAAGGCTGGTTGAGGTGAAAGTCTGAAACCACCTTTGGAAGAAAGGAGACATCAGGATGTAATAGAACTTTGTCCTTGAAAAATTGTAGAAAGGGTTGGTCAAAACGAAGGGCAGCAAGTTCACTCGCCCATCTGGCAGAAGTGATGGCCACAAGAAATAAAGACATAAGAGATAACATCTTGAGGTCACACGTAACCATTGGTTCAAAGGGAGGACGAGTAAGGGCATGCAACACCAACTGGAGGGACCACTGCAGAACTGGTGGTCGAATTGGTGGTCTCAGATTAGTGAGTCCTTTGAGAAAGGCTTTAACTGTAGGATGGGAGAACAGGTGTGATGAATCGGAATCCTTAGGTTGGAAAGAAATGATTGCAGCTAGGTAAACCTTAATAGTAGAAAGGGATAACTTGAAATCAAACAGGTAACGTAGATATTGTACTAACGTAGAAAGGGACACAGGGGATGGAACAAGACCTCTAGCTTTAGTGAACTTGAGGAAACTCCTCCACTTATGTTTATATAAGGAAGTGGTTGATGGTTCCTTGGCTCTATCTAACACCTCCTTGACTTGTGGGAGATCCTCCATGCAGTCAGATGTAGGGTGTCCACGTCTGGGTGAAGGATGGCACGCACATCCTGAGTTAGGAGGTGTGGTAACTGTGGTAGCCTCCTGAACTCTGAGGACATACTCACTAGAGGCCAATAAGGAGCTATGAATATGGCGTTCGCCCTTGATTGACGAAGCTTCACCAACATCCTCTGGATCAATGGGAGAGGAGGAAAGATGTACAGCAGCGGTTGATTCCATCGCAGCATGAAGGCATCTCCTAGGGACCCGCTGCCTATTCCTGCCCTGGATGAGTAACTGATGCATCTGGCGTTTAGTTGAGACGCAAAGACGTCCACTGTGGGAGTGCCCCATAGTAAACACAGTTCCTGAAATATTTGGGGACTGAGTTCCCACTCGTGTGTCTGATACGGGAGGCGGCTGAGTCGATCTGCCAGGGCGTTGTCTGCTGTTGGAACATGTATGGCCACCAGAAATACGTGGTGGAGATGACACCATTCCAAGAGAATCACCGTGAGGTATAATAGTGACTGAGAGTGTGTCCCTCCTTGCTTGTTTATATAGTACATGGTCGTGGTGTTGTCCGTTATCACCTGAACACCACGACCGCGTACCATGGGCA